CTTGTTGCAGATTCAGGATGCATTGCAGCGAGCTGCATTTGACGCCAATGCTCAAGTTGAAGCCATTTTCCAGGTTTTGCATACGAAGGAGTTGCCGCCGACATACTTCCGCACAAACAAATTTACTTCAGCATTCCAGGAAATTGTTGACGCATATGGGTGAGTTTTAAAAAATTTGGAAGTACACAGGGATTAACTCATGGCATGTCTGAAGTTGGAAAATGTTATCTGACTTATAGAATTGTGTGATAGTATTCTCATGTTGTTTTTTTTGCTGGTCGAAGTCTCGCGTCTCTCCATTTGTCTAATATGCTCTGTGAAGTTCAGCCGCATGCTGATAAGGTTACTCCTTCTCTTGATTATGCAGGGTGGCTAGATATCAGGAAGCAAATCCTGGAGTATATACAATAGTTACATTCCCTTTTCTATTTGCTGTCATGTTTGGTGATTGGGGACATGGAATATGCCTGTTACTTGCAACATTAGTGTACATATTTAGAGAAAAGAAGCTTTCTGGTCAGGTAATATTCAAATTTAAATTATATCTTGTATCTTAATTCCAACAAATTTTCAAAAGTAATCCCTGTCTTTGCTTTTTTGGAGAATTATAGAAAGATTTCTCTTGAGTGTGAACTCGTTGAAGCTTCTTTAATTTCCTTTATTAACATGGGCGAGGCAGGTTCCTTAAATTTGGGATAAGATCCTTAAGCTTGATTGTCTGATAATTTTTTTGCTCAAGAACTGTTTGTTTGGTTAAATCATACTGTAGTGAGCATAATGTCTTCATACTGGGATTAATTCTCATTTTCAATGTTAACTGTTTTGCATGTAATGGAAAATACAATTAAAATTTTCAGATTTGGAGACTAGACTTTTTAGTGATGAGCCAGACTAATAGGATGAATTGAAAATATTTTCTTTTGTGAACTTTGTATCTTCTATTCTGAAGACCACTAGTTTTTAAAGCTTTTCCCAGGGATGTTTATCTATCTGCTTTGATGCCTTTTGTAAAGAGTCGCTAATTAGTGTTGTATGTTTTGGCAATTTTAAATTGATTGGTATCGAGAAAATCTCAGAACAAAATGTCAAATGATACTTTTCTTGTCTCTGTCTATTTTCACTAAATATTCCCCAAAAAAACACAAACTTCATGCTTTCTATAAAAATACCATGTTGAAAAGAGATGTCCGAATTTATTATTTCATATCAAAGTAAGCCTTCATTAGTTTGGTTGTCAAGGATGTCATTTAAAATTGTGACAGAGCAGCTGAAGTGGTATTTTTTGTGTTCCGATTGATATTTGTCTTTAATCGTATTGCATAATAGTTAATAATTTTACTCATAATGGCAATAACAGAAACTTGGAGACATCACAGAGATGACCTTTGGTGGCCGTTATGTTATTCTGATAATGGCACTCTTCTCAATCTACACCGGTTTGATCTACAATGAGTTCTTTTCAGTTCCATTTGAACTGTTTGGTCTCTCAGCATATGCATGCCGTGATTTGTCTTGCAGGTTTGTGGATGTATCTTTTGACACCCAGTTATATCATAATTTGATCGTCTTGCTTCTACTATTTGGGGCATATTTGCTTTTTCACATCTAGTGTTGTTTCACAGGGACGCTACAACAGTGGGCTTAATTAAAGTCCGTGACACATACCCGTTTGGTGTGGATCCTGCCTGGCATGGCACAAGAAGCGAGCTGCCATTTCTTAATTCTTTGAAGATGAAAATGTCGATTCTACTTGGTGTGGCCCAAATGAATCTTGGAATTATATTGAGCTACTTTAATGCCAAATTCTTTGGCAATTGCGTGAATATCTGGTAATTGTAGTCTTTGATATTTTCAAACTTCAGGCTTGATCTCTTTATAAAATCTTTTGAGTTATTTTAGTTCTGATACATCTTTCTTTTTAAAGTTTTGGGTATAAATGAAATGATGCTTTGTTAACGCATTGTCTCAGGTTCCAATTTATTCCCCAGATGATATTTCTAAATAGTTTGTTTGGGTACCTATCTCTCCTAATCATTGTGAAATGGTGCACTGGTTCACAAGCTGATCTATACCACATAATGATTTACATGTTCCTAAGCCCTACTGATGATCTGGGTGAGAATATACTTTTCCCTGGCCAGAAAACTGTGCAGGTAATCCTTCTTCCGGCCAGCACAAAATTCACAATAATCGACCTATCAGATATATCAGATGTGTATATCCTCATTTATATTGGTTTATTGCCAGCTTGTGCTACTATTGCTGGCACTTGTTTCTGTGCCATGGATGCTGCTTCCAAAGCCTTTTCTTCTAAAGAAGCAACATGAAGAGGTCTCATTTTCTTTTTGCTTAAGCCAACTAATTTTAGATTTTTGGACTTTGTACATATTTTAATTGGTCCTGATTTACATTTTACAGAGGCACCGAGGCAATTCTTACATGCCACTGGAGACCACGGAGAACAGCTTTCAGTTGGAAACAAGCCATGATGCCCATGGGGATCATGAAGAATTCGAATTTAGTGAAGTCTTTGTCCACCAGCTTATACATACCATTGAATTTGTACTCGGGGCGGTCTCCAATACAGCTTCATATCTTCGTTTGTGGGCTCTTAGGTATGCTGCTTGGACCCGTGTCATTTCTCAGTCTCCATCTAGCAATACTCTGAGCCTCCGTGTGTTCTGTCATATCATGTATATTTTCCTGCAGACAAAATAGTAGCTAATTTGACTTCTTACTTTACCTACACATCTGTTCAGTCTCGCCCACTCGGAGTTGTCAAGCGTGTTTTATGAGAAGGTTCTGCTGCTTGCGTGGGGGTAAGCTTTCTCATTAGTTTTGCCTTCTTATCTTGCTAGTTATGGTTTGTTGTGAGGTTCTCTTGGGATTTTTTCAGAATAGATGGGCAAGTGACATGGGTTTATGCTGCTTGTTGACTTGCCCATTTGATTTTCTGCACTGGTCTTTTAAGACAGGTTTTTTGCTGGTAAACTCAATATATGGTATTTAAGATCTTGTGGGCATTAATAACACTGGAACAGACCTTCCGTGCCCCTTGGAACACAAGGGGATAACTTTCTACATGCAATGAAAACAGTAGCTGTAGCTGAAATAATTGGGTACTTGAATGTAGGATTTCTGTTCAGTTATTGCATCAGATTCGTGATCTTTGGAGACTGATACGATGTGTTGCAGGTTCAACAACGTGATCATTCTCATTGTTGGCATCATCATCTTTATCTGCGCAACTGTCGGCGTGTTGCTGGTGATGGAGACTCTCAGTGCTTTCTTGCATGCCCTGCGACTTCACTGGGTGGAGTTCCAAAACAAGTTTTACGAGGGAGATGGTTATAAGTTCTATCCATTCTCCTTTGCATTGGCCAGTGATGAGGATGATTTCTGATTCCTACTGTATCACCCAATATATAGTGATGGATTGTTGTGTCACATGCATGATGCGTGTTTGGTTGGGTCTGCGTCGATTCTTTTATTGGAAGTGATGGGAGGCTGTTGTCAAGTTTCACCTGGAACTGCCTCCATTGCGCGAGCCGTCCCTTCTCGGTATATGTTATTAAAGAAATAAGTTATGATCAGGCTTGATTAGTGTAATGATGATTGTTATCACTGTCGGTAAATTATTGATGTATGTATTTATTTTAGATACTCAGAAACCTGGAATGTACTTTGGTAAACTGTTTGGTGTAGTATTAGCTTTTATCAGGCGGGAAAGTCATCGTGAAGCTCGTTTAGATATTTGGCGCAGACGGCTGAACGAATAACTGGCGCAGCCTAATGTCTCGCCCCAATAAAGTCTGGACCTGTGGGCTCAAGGACCCAACGGTAGGCTTAACCGCAAGTGTCTCAATCTATCGGCTAAAAGGCCCAATATTCCCACCTAGCGGGGCCTCATGGTTAGTAAGGCCCATGCTCGTAAGCAGACCAAAGCCCGGCTTTATTTTTAGGGGCCGAGGAATGCCTATTCATGCTATTATGGTGGCGGTGGCCCATTCACGGCGCTTTATCAAAGCCCAAAACGCCCAAAGCCCGGCCTGTCAGACCAAACATGGGCCTATTGTATAGGCCCAACGTCCGGCCCCTTAACAAGCCCAAAACGTCCAACTGGGCATTAGGCTGGCCGGACGCCCAACACGGCCTATTTCGGCCCAAAGAGGGCCCACGCATGGGCCAGCGTACAGTCCATTCTAAGGCCCAAAATACGCCCCATTAGGGTGGCCCAAACTTCATCAGCCGAAACTGCGGCCCCTAGCTAGCGCTACAGGTCTTTCGAACAAAAAAAGAAGAAGCTAGCACAATAGGTCCAATCTGGGCCCATTTATGCAGGCCCAAAGCAAGGGTCATTGAGGCCCAACCTGGCCCATTGATGAACTCAACCTACAAGCATTTTGAGGCCCTACAGGCCTATTGATTTGGCCCAAACTAGGCCCGTTATACCCCAATCAGAGCCCATTTACGCAGGCCTAAAACATAACCCATTTTGAGGCCCAACAGGCCCAATCGGAACCTACTAATCCAAAGTCTGGCCCATTAGTACGGCCCATCGGGGGCCCATTAGTCACACGTGCGGCCCATAACTAGACTAACAGGCCAATCTGGGCCCATTTCTACGGGCCCAGGCCCAAAAGCGTTGCCCGTTTTGAGACCCAACATACAGCACGGGCCATCAGCTAGGCTCAAAGTAACGGGCAATCATATAGGCCCAAAGCTTCTATCAATTTGTCCAAGAAGGCCTAGCCGGGCCATTTTGTAAAGGCTCGGCAAGCCCAACTATGGACCGCTAAGTCTGCCACGAAGGCCCAAAGGCCAGCGACCAGTCTACATTTTTTGCCACGAAGCCCGTGCCACTCTTGTTGAAGATTTCCGGCGTTTTAAGTGTCGACGTCAATATTCTTCCTGTTATATTTCGTTTTTCCCCCCTATATTTGTGCTTTCCCCAAGTGGGCCCATTTGCGTGCTTATATTTCTAACTGATTTACATTGGGTTGAATGGGATCCAATCCCGACCAATACAAATTTGGTAGAGCAGATCATAAAGCTAAATTTTACAACATTTTGACACTCACACTTTCGGAACTTCAGATCAGACCCACCCTCGAAGCAGAAAGTAACATTTTCTTTTTCCTAGACAACATCAGATTGGCACACTATAATTTAAAACTACTACAGCTTGACAAATGTTGTAATTGCCATCCTTATTTACAAGGCAAGTACCTCTAGCTCAGAGGCTAGTGGGAGCCAGGGGTGGTCTGAACAGCTGCCACGGTAGAGACCAATGAGTCTACTCCACACGGATTGCGGCCCCTGCAGATTTTATAGTATCCATTCTCTCCCCAGTTCTCTCCCCATGAGTTCTTTATGATCCAGTACGGCTTATCCTTCATCCTAATGGGAGCATAACCTGCAGAACCATACCCAACCAACAACACCCCATGGTCCAATCTCTTGGAGCATATGAATGGGCATGAAACCCCTCCGATGTATGTCTGCATGAACACAGCGTTGATGCCCACTGTTTCGACCAAAAAAAAATTTTGGTACCATTACCGTAAGATAAGCAGCATGCACATTATCTGAGCCAAAAAAGAAAAGGGATAAAAGTAAAAAAAAAAAAACTCTATATTGGGGTCATGTGTCATGTACCGGCAAGTGGCCCATTCTTCACAAGATTTGCTGCAATTTGATCTTCATCAAGGGAAACAACGCTGAAGTTGGCCACGGATGCAGCAATCTTGGATTTGTCGAATTTGCAAGTTCCACGATCAGTGCCAGTATAGGGGTAGTCGCCCTCTCGCATGAGCCCACCTGCTTTAAGAGTGTACTCAAAAGCACTGTTCATCAATCCACCATTGCATCCAGAGTCACATGAACCAGGTTCATCTGGATCACACTGCACAAAAGTAGAACCTCCATTTGGTAATATTTACATAAGTTAAACATAAGAAAAATCGACGAGTGATTTAAAAAAGGCATGCACACTGAACAGAGTATTAGGCCTTTTGATGCCAGGGAAGAAAATAAGCTACTCTTACAAGGGAAATATAATAGGCTAGTGGAGAACCGATTTAATAAGAGTAAGCATCAGGTGTTCAGCTTTCATGACAGAGCCATATTACTAGTGCTATTAGAAAGGTTTCATAAGTCGTCACAGATATTGTGTCAACTTCCAGTTTCATACAATCCAAGAGGGAGTGGGAGTGGAGAGATAGCACACAACACCCAACTACAAACTACTCCAACGGCCGACACAGAGGGTGGCGGTGATGGAAGTTCCCCCCTCCCCCCTCACATGCTTTTAGGGGTAGTGAGAGATCAATTGCTCATCACATTTGCAGAAAAAACTCTACTCGCAAAAGAAATACTTGCAGAGAAACAAGGAAATGGAATAGGACATAATCTCCAATCCTCGGTTCACTTTAGGCAAGTTCATTGCCAGTTTCATTTTTCCTCACCCTCTGCTAGCTTTATATCCTACCGATGAAACTTCAAGTTTCTCATTTGTGGAAGCTTGACTGCATTCCTATATCCCACATAACTTGGCTGGTTTTGCGTTCGACAAGTCACTTTTTTCCTAGCCGTATGAAATTAGGAATTTATGATTCTTTCACATACCATTATTCAAGTAACTTTCACACATTGGCAATTTATTTAGATGCTCCTTATTTCACTAATCAATTAACAAATTTTCTGTCCAGAGAATTCGGGAAATAGCTTGTATGGTTGCAAATAACTCAAGCAACTTATGCGCCATTCAAGCTGGAAGACTACTCAAGTTTCCCTTGATTTCTTCTAAAAATTTAGTGTTCATATCCTAAACACGAGCACAATGAATTGCACAGCATCTGTGTGATGAGATATGTAACAAATAGGACTTATGGCTTAATAAAAGAATCAAATTGACTATCTGGAAAATGGAAAATAACTCCATGGATTAAAGCATCTCTAAACATGATCATTCAGGATGCAGATGATGCCATGTTAAGAATAGATTAAAACGAAATCCGGTTCCAGCTCCCACTCACATTCGTATGCCTGGCCCTGTTTTTATATTGGAACAGAATTCTGCAGAATGCTCATCCCCTTCCATGAGTGAAGAAATTCCCATCCTCTTTTAATTCCACAAGATTATTCCCTAACATACCTCGTTTTGGCCTACTTCATACATCATTCGAAGCAAAGTTTTTCCATATAAATTTTTTAATCCTTCTCATTGATGAAAGAAGATTAACAAACGGCAGTACCAAATGCAAATGAAGCAACCACGAGAAGACACAATGACATTACCTCATGATCACAATCCACAAGTTGTTGCTCGCTGAGGCTAACTAGTTCTCCAGTAGCAAGGTAGTGCGCGCCTTCCAGTGCTCCTGTCGTGCTGAAACTCCAGCATGATCCACACGAGCCCTGATCTCAGCAAAACAAACAGCAGAGTCGGCACTTCATGAGAAAAAAACCAATGAAAGAATTTTCTGAGGAAATTCATCGAGGATTCGGAGCATGGAGCAATCCAAAATACCTAATCAATTAAACAAAATGAAAACAACAATCGATTTGCATTGCTTTGGTTACTTCTGAGAAAACCTATTTGGATGCATTGCTCAGAACGAACGAACGATAAACTCACTTGATTTTTGACATTGGTGACAGCTCCGTGATCTCTCCAATCGAAATCCTCGGGCAGATCATCGGTCGGCAGAAGCGGCGCCTGATTCGCATCCTTCGGCAACCGAAGCCCACTCCTGATCCCCAAATGACTCCTCTCGAACTCGGAGGGCGTCAGGTCGGAGAACCGGGTGACGCCGTGGACCGCCGAGGGATCGAGCTCCTGGTGCCGCCTCGCCCGGCGCAGGTTATCCCTGAACACCTCGAATCGGCGATCGTGCTCTTCCTGGGAGGAGTACGACTTGCCGAAGCGTCTCTTGAAGAGCGAGAAGTGGCGATGATCGGCCGAGAGGTCGCCGCCATCCGCGGCGGCGTCGTCCACGACTTGCCGGATCAGCAGCGGATCGCCGTCGACCTCCGACGAAGCGCCGGCCGAGACGAAGACGAAGGCGAAGGCGAAGGCGAAGGCGAGAGAGAAGAGGGCGATGAGAGGCAGAGAGCGATTCATGGTTCGAGGGAGAAGAGCGCGACGCAGAAGAAGAAGATCTGGAAGTGATAGAGAGAAGAGCAGAGGCGGGGCTATATATATATATACACACGTGCGAGAGTGTGGATGGTGCCTTCAAGCGAGAGAGAGTGGGAATTGCTTGCAGTGCAGGGGAAAGGGGGGCAGCCAATCAGGGAATGACAAGTGGCGAGGCTTTTGAGTGATGGATTTGATTGGGGTTGCTTCCTAGTTTTGAGCGTCGTTGTCCTACTCTTATGTCGATCTGTGCTGGGCAAGAGAATCGTCGTCACTCGTCGTGATTTTTCTTTTTCCTTTTCTATAAAAAAGACTGTTTGGTAGCTAATTAATGAGATATCTTATTTAAAAAAAATATGAAAATATACGGCGCACGTCAGCTTATTTTGTAACGATCAATTTATTTCTCATATCGATGACATACTTACTGATTTTTCTTTCTTTTCTTTTTTCAAATTATAAAGAAAAAGTCAGGATGGCCAAACACGTTTTCTCGAAAAATAAGGATTTTAGGACACGCGAGAGCAAATGTTTGGAGTAGTCCCGCGATTATGTCCCGAAATCAAGATCAAATTTTCGCTGGAGCGCATGCATATGTGCGTGGACTCGAATCATAGCCTCGGCGGATGTTCGAATCGCTAGACATATGGGTAATACTTTGTCTTAAGATCATTGAAAGTAGAGTTCAAATCTAAAATTAAGCAGCTCCTAACAGAGTTTGTGTCATATGTGAGCAAAATGGAGGGATGTGATGATCGAAAGGGCTTTTGGTACAAGTTCTGCGACACTGCTCATCAAGAGAGGTCATTGGAAACAAAAACGATGCAAGTTGATGCAGGGGACTGAGATCTATGAGCAGGCTCAAAAAGCAACAGGGGAGATGGAGCCCCTTCCACGAGGCCATAAGGAATCGGACCTTACCTGGTCCTTTGCAAGTTTTTTTTTTTTTTTTTTGATTTTGCAAGTTCATCATGAAATAAACCAAAAATAACCTAAAAATCCAAACCAAACCGGTTTGACCTGATTGATCAAATTGGTTCGGTTAGATTTGATGTGCTTTGCCAAAGCAAAACCCATGGTTAGCCTTACTAATCATTTCTTCCTTGAACTTCTTGGTTAATAAAGAAAACAGAATTACAGGCTGCACTGATCCATTGATAGCATTATGATATATCTATGGAGGCTATTGCACACGGTCGAGAACATCCTTTTTATGGTTAATCCGTTAAACTGGCATATCAATTTATAACCGGGTGAATTCTCCATCTTCAGAATCTCCATCAGAACACCAACATTTTCAACTGTCGATTCTCGAGGGAACACAATCCTAATAATCGATAGGTAGGACCAACGGTTTCCTAAGTCGCCTAGAAGTGACCAAAGACGTCTGATGTCCACTTCCTCTGAGACGAAAGTTCGAGGTGCAACGAATGTTAGATTCTGCAGGGGGGAGTGTTTGTAGGTTGGGAGATGGCTTTTCAGTAATCGCTCGCTTGTTCTTCTAGTTCAGTCGTTGTTCTTGTTGGAATTGTTACTTTGGCCTGCTTCTGGATGCAGCAGTTGTGTGTAATGGAGGCACAACGGGTGCTTTCGTGCGCAAGGCGGAGAAAGTTCCTGACCTCCCTCTAGACAGTGATATGATTCACCCTAACGGGGGTAAGTTGTTTTCCTAGTTCTGACGTCAAGTTTATAACTTCTTGTGAGCCTCTTTAGATTGATATGCCAGAAGAGCTTTTTTCCCCGAGTTTAGTAGGTACTCTTGAAGACCGGGGTTCTTGTTTTATGGTTTCTTATTGGGTTCAGTTCGGCAGGAACTAAGGTAAGTATAGGACAAGGGGATCATGTGGGGAAAGGAGTGAACAGTGTCATGGGTGACTCGGGATGAACCTGGGTGCAGTGAAGGGCTATGCTGGAGCGAAAACAGCGAGCTGAAGAAAACAGCGAAGGGCAACTTATTTACTTATTAGACTTTGGGATACATTTCGTCATTGCACCCTTGACAACTTGAAGGCATGTTTTCCATCCTGGCGAGGGAATTACCTTCATCGAGATCGATCGCACCATTTCCGGTGATTGTGCATTTTGGTGGCAGTTCCACCCCAAAATACTAGTATGAGGTCGGGATCAGGCACAATGTTCGTGTGTTCTGGTTCGATACCCCTCCAGGGGTTGGGCCAAATGTTCCACACACTTTTCGCCTTATTCATTACCTTTCATCAGATCAACTTATTGGTTGCCTACCTAGCTAGAAACTCAGACAGAGTAACTCCAAGAGCGCATCATCGAACTGGATATCTCGATAAAACCATTTGTATTATATTCTTCAAGACCGCAGTTGGGTCTGGCGAGTGATTGGCAACACAACTAAATTGAGAACATACGAATACGGGGACTGTTTCTTAGTTAGGCTCGAGATTCGTGGACATCATCCAGGGGATCTAGACCAGAGTTTCGATAACGTGACACACACATTATGAATGAAATCTGCGGAAAGGATAGATGGTGCCGTTCATTCGAGACTCATCTTATGCAAATAATTATAACCATGGTAACGTGAGGTGGGATATATGGGGAAGGTTTCTTGAAAGAAATGCAGCTTGTCGAGAAATCCTCCAAGAACATATTGAAGTTGACAAAACAATCCACTAATACATTATGAGCTTGATAAATGCAAATATTGTCTATATTTTAGGTAATATCCGCTTTTATGGAACTTAGACGTACATAGCAAAAAGATTTGTGAAGACCGGGAAGGACCTGTATCATAAATACTTGGGGGCACCAAGGTGAACAAGAGCACAGGATCTATATCACTATCATACTCAAGGTGAAATGCAGTATAATATCACCGGTAAACCTACTATAACCGGGAAATGCTGATATTAGTGGCGGAGCGCTTATAATACCTACACAACAGCTTATCACATGCTCATGAAGAGCTATACAAAAATATCCCATGATAATTTTTATTTGAACATTTAAGGCAACTATTTATCTGGCTTGGATTCCTAAAGGAAGATATTGATTGATTATCTATCTCGTGAAGAATTTACTTGGAAGATCCCAATTATGCATGATATCTTGATTGATTGCCAATAATCTAGGAGATAGATTAATTTCCATAATTCAAGCTACTCTATTTATTGAAACTGAAATATTTGATTGTATAGGTAACCAAAGTTCTGCAAACTCAGATTACTTGACTTCAACGGCTAAATTGATATGATTACTTGACTTCACTCCTTCCGGTTAATTTTGGTTGAATTTTGGTGATGTGGATGCCGGCGGTGCCACGTAAGCCTGCCAGTGATGACGTGGACAAATTTTAATAATATTTTAATATTTTTTTCGATTTTTTAAATTAAATTTCTGATTTTTTCCTTTTTTTTTTCTTTTCTTTTTTGGCTTTCTTCCTCCCATTGCCGGTGACCGGCCATGGCTGGGTGGGCTACCCTCGTCCGGCGTGGCCTGGGCGAGCCCCGGCGAGGGCTCCCCTCGCCCAGGCCAGGGCGAAGGTTGGCCCCGCCAGATCTGGCGAGGGGAGCCTACGTCGGGGCGAGGGTCGGCCTCGCCCAGGCCAAATTTGGTGAGGCCGGCCCTTGCCCAAGCTAGGGCAGCCTCGCCAGATCTGGCTTGGGTGAGGCCGACACTCGCCGGGCCTTGCCTGGGTGAGGACTCTCCTCGCCAGGGCTCGCCCTCTCTTGGCCCGGGCTCGCCCTCGCCTGGCCGGGGCTCGCCCAGGCCGCGCTGGGCGTCGCTTGGCTAGGCGAGGGCAACCGACCCAGCCATGGCTGGTGGCTGGTCGCCAGCAATGGGAGGAAGAAAGCCAAAAAAGAAAAAAAAACCAGAAATTTAATTAAAAATATTAAAATATTATTAAAAATTGTCTATGTCATCACCGGTGGGCCTACATGGCATTGCCGGTATCCATGTCACCAAAATCTGGCCAAAATTAGCCAAAAGGACTGAATTGGCACAGAGACAAAAGGTTTAGGACTTAATTGGCACTAAAAAAATATTTATGACTAAATTGATACCAATGCAAAAGGTTTAGGACTTTTTCAACACTTTTCCCGGCTTGTGCGCTCATCTTGTGTCAATATGATCATCGGGGGTGTCTGTTTATGAGCAAAAATGGGCTCAAGCGTAGTTAGAGGAGGAATTCGAAATCTCTTCTTTTCTTTGCTTCGGCCAATTCTCTCATCAATTCCGAATCATCGTGCAATGATCTCTTTGGAAGATACCTAATTAACAAGTAATCATAACTTCCTCTGTGGTCTCCATCGTTAGGACAAGGGTGAGGAGTTGCTGTTTTCTGCATTCTTTCTTAATTAAGAGTGGAAGCAATGTATTGATGTGGTTAAGTTAAATTGAATATTAGTGAACTTGAAGTGCATCTTGATTATACAGAATCTAGTGGATCATCCTTTTCTTCATTATTTTCAACATTCTAGAAGTTTGTGCTCCCGACCCGAATCTTTCTTCTCGCACCTTCTTTCTTTTTTGGAAAAAAAAATTGACATAAGAATCGCACACTATTAATTTTCATCGTATCAGTGATGCAAATTAATAATTCAATTATCTTAATCACTGCGGGTTGTGAAACGATGTGACAACATGTCACAAATTATCATCCATGTCGGCCATCATGTAGGATCGTAGACGGCGAATTTTCACGGAAAATTCAATTGATGCTATAATCGTCCCACGAGTGTAAAATAGTGCTTTTTCAAAGACTTTTGATATGTCATGTTAAAAGAATTTTTAATGTATAGAAGGCTATACTTTCATCGAGACGTTTTAAAGTAAGGTTGTACCTTTTAAAGACATTTCAAAAGTCGAGCTAAAAAGGATTAAATAACGGGATTCACATGATTTGATACCGATTGACATGAAATTGGCGGTGAACATATATCTAGGGGAGCTTGTATTGGTGGCTTTTGACTTTAATAGAAGAAAATTGGTCCCTTGGGCATATCCCGTGCACCAACTGGATTGGAATAGGACAGGTGCTAGTTGATCTTTTATTATTATTTCAATTTTTTCGGCTAATCCATTGGTGTTGCTTATCTCCCTTTCACACATTTGGCTGGCCTCTTGTCCTAGCTAATTTCGTATTTATTATATTACTCTAGATGATGGTATGGGCATAAATTTTCACAAAGAACAATAATAATATACAAAAAAAAGAAACATTCGTATTAATCAAACTTTGTGCCAAAGTTTACGTGAAGTATTACTGAAAGTGTCATGTGGGTTTATCCTCTGATTAAGTAAAACAATAACACAAAAAATTGCAACATTTGTTAAAGAATAAAATGAGTACATGCAATATCTTGAAATACGAATCAATAAAAAACACCAAAGCACAAATAAGAACGTAACTTCCTCTCTCTTTTGATAGTTTTCCTCCAATACGTCAAAATCTTTAAACATATTATATAATCTTCCCCTTGTTAATTAATTAGGAAAGGAGCTTATAAGCTACTTGTCTGAGTAGAGAACAAGAACATGGACATGTGGTGCAATGGATGCGTGTAAAACAAATATTTTGCCCTTTGGCATAATAAGAAGTTTAATCCGATTAAGAAACATGTCGCCAGTTCCTCGTGATGGAAGAAGATACATGAACCTTTGGACTTTTGGAGCAATTTCTTTTCGGAAAGCGTATGCTTTCTTGTTGCATAGTGGTGTTATTGTTAACTGAGCATTAAGAAGTGAGTCACATCAAAGCTAAGATCACAGACCCAGCTCTTTCTTCCTCAGACAAAGTCTTAATCCCAGATTCCATAACGTCGCCACCAAATCACATCGCCAGTTTTCGAGTTTCAGAGTCATTTCTCATTGTTCTATTTCTCTACAGAACTTGGCAGTGGCCTATTCTTTGCCTCATCCATCGATGGTCCAAACCGGTTGCATGCGAAAGAAACTGGCAGTGGTGACACCCAATTATAGTCCAAAACAATATTGCCTTCCTCTCCTTGTCAGAAGAAGAGTCAAACGATGCGCTTTTTCGCCGTTAGTATTACGAAGTCTCCCATGGCTGCAACGTCAACTGCATACTTCGAATCGTCCTCATCAAGAAGGGAAGTAAAGAAATAGAAAGAATCATTTGCGTATTCCCTTAAAATAAAGCTAAGCCTCTTTTCATATTTGAGGGGCTGCGAAATTCTTATATTAAAGTTCAAAAGAGTTGACATTTACACTGTATATGCGTATAGTCCCGTGGATATTCCCCGAGTTTTATGCAAACCCCTCCTCCTTTCTATCTTGAAGAGGCGTGTTCCTCAGTACTACATTCACCTATATAAAGGGTAGTGCGATTGATGTGAGACTTTGTGGGGGGTGTGTCACGTAGGTTCTTGTGCTCTTCCATATCCCAGAATAAGACCAAGATGGCTGTTCTGGGATCTTCTTCTTGTTCGGTAGCTGTTGTTGGGGCTGTTCTTGTTCTTGTTCTGGTTTTGAATGGGGCTGATTTATGCAGTGGAGGGAAGACCGGCACTTTCGTCCGTAAAGTGGAGAAAACTGTGGACATGCCTCTGGATAGCGATGTTTTCCGAGTGCCTCCTGGCTACAATGCCCCTCAACAGGTCTCAACTGAGTTTGTATTCTTGCTCTTTCTCTTAGTATAGCACAAGATTTTCCTTCTGTTCTTTTGTGACTTGTGAAATGGTTGAAATCTACGTGTAGAGACACGCTGGGACGAGCTTGAATCGAATTAATTCAGTTTCGGATTTGATGTGATTTAATGCTAGAGGTTATTGCTGTTAATTTCGTTCTATTCTCTGTGGTTTTTGATTTGGGTTTTGGATTTGGCGCGAGTCTTTAGGTACATATGACACAAGGGGATCATGTGGGAAAAGGAGTGATCGTGTCATGGGTGACTCAGGATGAACCTGGGTCCAGCGTAGTGCTCTACTGGAGCGAAAACAGCGAGCACAAGAAAACAGCAAAGGGCAAAGTTAATCGTTACAAGTTCTACAATTATACTTCTGGTTACATCCACCATTGCACCCTCGACAACTTGATGGTAAATCTCTTGATTCCTCCAGAAGTATTAATTTTTTGGTGCTTGGTCCGTATGATTGGGTAAATGTAGCTGATCTTTGTTTTGGTTACTGGCAGTACAACACTAAATACTATTATGAGGTCGGAATTGGACACACGGTCCGACAGTTCTGGTTCATTACTCCTCCGGAGGTTGGCCCAGACGTTCCATACACTTTCGGTCTCATAGGTAAGTAAATCATGTTATCATGCATATATAGTCAACGACAGAGTAACGTCAAAAGCTCATTCCTGCGTATGTACTATAGGTCAATGCAGAATCATTGGTTTTGATAATTAATTTCATCAGCAAGTCGCAGCAAATTTAGTTCTGCAGTTAATTTACACGCATCCATGGTTCTAGTCCTTTCTATGCTCAGCATGCCGATGAACATTGCAGGGGATCTTGGTCAGACTTTTGATTCAAACCGAACGCTTGCCCATTACGAACATAATCCGCAGAAAGGACAGACTTTATTGTTTGTTGGAGACTTGTCATACGCAGATGATTATCCCGACCATGACAATGTGAGGTGGGATACATGGGGAAGGTTCGTCGAAAGAAGTGTAGCTTATCAACCCTGGATATGGACAGCAGGAAATCACGAAATCGACTTTGCTCCTGAACTCGTGAGTGCTAGCATTATACTTCCACCAAGACATATGTATTTCACATTCAGAGTCACATAAGCCTTAATCCCTAAATTTCTGTGATAATTCGTTACATCATGAAATCTCAACTATTCCGATCATAACCTTCCTCTGCTGCTTTTGGTGGCTAAGAACTTCTATCCAAGTTCCATGTCATCATATTGCAATATTCCTCTTCATCGGGAAGTTGGGGAACTGAAGGAAGCAATAAATTCAATTCTTGAGGTTTATATAAGGCGAGACAACGGTAGAACTGAGACCGTCACCCAGTGTAATTTCACAAAACAGATAAACGCTTTACAATATCAGAGTTTATGATGTTACAGTAAATACGCAGGGGACGAAGTCCCTTTCATTGTTATCCTGAAGTTTCATGATGTATGAGTTCATATAATGACACGACTGATGATGTCGTACATTCTTTTTTTCTGCAGGGCGAGTATAAACCCTTCAAGCCCTTTTCGCACAGATACCATGTCCCATATAGAGCATCAAACAGCTCCTCGCCTTTTTGGTACTCGATCAAGAGAGCTTCGGCATACATCATAGTCTTATCATCATACTCTGCATATGGTATGATTTCTACATCCTTGACTATCCTGCCAACATAGATGAGACTGAGATGCTACTCTACGGAACCTCCCATGTTTTCAAGAAATCTTTTTTGACATGATGACAATATTAATTTGTGTGCAAGGTGGAAAATAGATGAAGAATCATAGGAAATTCTATTTTGATATCTGTGGATGAAAACGGATCCCTTCTTTTAAGATTTCGTTTGATGTAGTAGACTGCTCATACTCGGGGGAGCAAATATTTCATCGATAAACTCAAACATCCAGTAATGGAAATGAAAGTTCGTTAGGCATTAAAATCGTTTTGATTTGATGTTATCATGACATGTACGGTTATACCAAGAAGAACAATAGAGGCATGTCTCTCAGAATGCCTATTTTTATTGAATGTCGTAGCTCACTTCTGCTTATTTCCTTTTACCTCTGTCCGCTCCTAAGGTACATATACTCCCCAGTACATCTGGCTTGAACAAGAGCTACCAAAAGTTAACAGGACGGAGACACCGTGGCTGATTGTTATGATGCACTGTCCGTGGTACAATAGCTACAACTATCACTACATGGAAGGAGAAACCATGAGAGTGATGTATGAACCGTGGTTCGTGCAATTCAAAGTAGATGTGGTGTTTGCAGGGCATGTCCATGCCTATGAACGATCTGTAAGTCCAAATGTTTCCTTTTCCTTATTATCTAATTTTTCAGCTTTATCTCGGTAATAGCCTTTCCATAGGAAGATGCATAAAGCCAACTCTGATGAGTTAGTCCAATCAAACTATCAATTTCAATGTTCTCCAAAGAGATGAAATTAACACGTCGACAGCAATAGAGATTTCTGTCCAACAATCACAATTTATTTTTTCCATGCACGAAGTGTTGCGAGGATGAGCAGGAAACCAGAAATTCTGCTTGTTTGTTTTTGAACCAGGAACTCACGGCCGACAGGAGGTAACCGGGCGACACGCAGCCACCACACACGTGCACCGGTTAAGTCCCGCCTGCGGCGCTGGATTCGAACACCCAACCTTTGCGAGAGGAAGAATGCCATTTCAGAGCGCCACCCAGGGGGGGGTGAAATTCTGCTTGTTTGTTTGTCTAGTTTAAATGAAAGAACTCGCTGGCTGATTGATGAGTGTCCCAGGAACGTGTATCCAACATTGCATACAACATTGTGAACGGCTTGTGCATCCCTGTTGATGATCAATCAGCTCCAGTGTACATAACGATTGGCGATGGAGGCAATATCGAAGGTTTGGCCACCAAGTAAGATGCATTACCTCACAAAACACTGCCTAATTTATTCATGACTATTCTGGATCCCCGTTGGATCGTGTAAATATCTGATTTTGTTATGCAGCATGACGGAACCCCAGCCAAAATACTCAGCCTACCGCGAAGCCAGCTTTGGCCATGCGATGTTTGATATTAAGAACCGAACGCACGCATATTTTAGTTGGAACAGAAATCAAGATAAATATGCTGTGGAAGCCGATTCAATGTGGTTCTTCAATAGATTCTGGCATCCAGTTGACGATTCGACAAGCATTTAATGATTGTCACAAGACAAGACAAGTTTTCTCTTTAAATTTCCTCAATATATTCACAAGCAAATGAAAGTTCTGCAATTAGCTAGGCTCATTCGAGTTTATGGTATTATGTTTTTCTAACAGAATTTTTTTTTTTGTGAATGAACGTTCATACTGGAATTTCAGTAGATGCATATTTTTGATTGCTGAAGTTCCTAATTAGCATGTCTGTAAAACTTTTGCTGATAAATAATAATTTTGATTTCTCAATACAATTCCTATGTTGCGGTGATGAGTGTTTGATATATCTAAAAAGATACACACGAAGGACATACTTTTCAGATCATAATCATAATACATTTTTTAAGATTAACATGCAATAATTCTTAAAGTAAAATCCTTCGAATGGACAAAGATATGCTTTACCAAACCCAGTAAACAGATATCCGATGATTCACTGAACCAAAAACATGTTAGGTAGTCCTGAGCAGGAGCATGTACTTTCAGATCAAATTGAGAACTTTAGTTTATGAAAACTAAAATTGAAGACAGAATCAGGTTGAGCTCTAGGGTAAGGATAAGTGTGTTTCGTTTATCCTAGAGAGCATGCGATACGATGCCGGTGTGATAGTTGTCGTGTGTATCAAATATGTAATAGTTGTCGTGTGTGATACTTGTCCCTTTAGTTAAAGCAGATCCATCTTCTTACGGACTACTTAGATTGCCAAAATCCGTACTTATGGAATCAGAATTTTGGTCTATTTTACTCAAGCACCCAAACCGTTGAAACTAACGAAATACTGAGCTGGCAGATTGATCTTTAGTTAGCTGTGGAAGATGTAAAACCCATTTTGACAGGTCTAATGTAGACCGAGAGGAGGACATTGAGGAATATGGAGCTGCTCTTACCGGGCTTGTCTTAGTTGTTATTTGATGCAATCTGCATTCTTAGGATTTAGAGAAAAAATGTCGGGTAGACTCATTTTTTCATACTCATTTTAAGTCGAGGACGATATGAGAAATTTTTCTCATAATAATTCAGGGCTTCGAGAGCAGAGGCTTAATGAGAAATTTTTCAGCAAATTTAGTATATGTAAGATGAAAATTAATTTGATCCCATCATTTAAACCGGTCAACTTTCAATTGAATACATGTACTAATTTCATAAAACCATCTTACGGGTGACATTGATTTTTTAAAGTAGCCGTAAATTGTGGACCACTTTCTTTTCCTAACATGAGAAAAGTCGAGGGAGGCCGTTGTGATGCGTCTGTGCTTTAGGCAATGTTGGACTTTTCCTTCTCAATAGTCAGGCGAGTGTTACACGAGTTTTACTTACTCGTATGTAATAGTACGAGTACCTTTTGCATAAATTCAATCAGTCACCCAATTAACCACTGGACACGAATGAGAAGCTGGGCCTGAGAATACGGATGTAAGAAGGTAAAGATAAACGACAAGGCAAGAGAAAAAACACAACCAAAGAGGAAAGGGTGGGGACTGCTACGAGCACCCGTGGCGGCTTTGGAGAGCTTTAGGTCAGTCAACTCAAGGCGTTCACGCGATTCTCATTGACAAATCCTCTTCATTCGTGTTGGGGAGAACCGGGACAACAATTTTTAAGCCCAATCGAGGATCAATGTCTCCACCACAATTTAACCGATCCAAATTGACTTAATCCTAGCAACAACCAACAATATTCCAGCAATTCAACCTTGCAATAATAAGGAGACAAATGCAACGACGACACTAAGATTTAACGTGGAAACTCAATGAGGGAAAAATCACGGATCGCCCCAAAAAACTTTCACTAATCACCAAGAATAGTAAGATACACGGAGTTCTTCTCTAGTTACATATTAGATGCACAACATCAATAATACAACATCATTTCCATCACCACAAAAGCAGATTTACATAAATAGATAAGAAAACCCTAATCGCAAATGAAGAGTTCAGAAGAGATTTTCAACGAACGAAACCGATCAACTCGTAGCCCTCAGTCTCACGAACAACATACTAAAATTTTGAGCCAATTCCGACAACGTTTGACCTTCGGATCGGGACCGCGAAGATGCGCTCCTTTTTTTTCTTCTCTTCCCCTGTTCTCTCGGTGAGCTCTCGATGAGCACTTTCTATTTTCTCTCTCCTAGGCACACTTGGGCACACGAAGCAGCCCCTTTTTCTTTCTTTCGGACTTTTTAACTTTTCCTTTTGTTTTTCCTTTTTGGCATATTGGCTGGGCCCCACAAATGAGGCGGGACCCAGCCAACAATTCGCACGGTACCAAAGATTCCTGGTGGGTTGGTTGTGGATGATGATAAATCCTCGTCCACGGTCTACCGGTGTGTGCTCGGTCTTTACTTTGTTGTCTGTCTTGTCGATACATATATCATCGATTTACTAAAATTTTAACCGATTGATCATGTCACGTGGATTTTATTATTAAATAAGATGATTTATGGAATAAAAGAAAGTAGGTGCGTCAAGTGTTTTCGCGTGCATGTATGTATTGGGTTATTATCTTCTCCAGTCATACAAAAAGGATTTAACGATCGCGAACGATATTACTTATAGAAAACCTGATGCTTAACTTAATGTCGGCTTATGGCTTGTGTGTTCATCTTGTATCAATGTGATCATTGGGGGCGTCCGTTTATGAGCAGAAATGGGCTCAAGCGTAGCCAGGGGAGGAATTCGAAAATCTCTTTTTCTCATTTGATTTGGCCAATTCTCTCATCGATTGTGAATCATCGTGGAATGATCTCTTTCTAAGAAGTAATCATAACTTCCTCCGTGGTTTCTGATGTTAGGACGAGGGTGAGGAGTTACTGTTGTTCTGCATGCTTTCTCAATTGAGAGTGGAAGCAATATATTAATGTGATTAAGTAAAATTGGACATTGGCGAACGGTTCGAAGTGCCCCATGATTGTACAGAATCTAGGAGATCTTCCTTTTCTACAGTATGGTTCGGCATTCCCCCCAAATCATTTTTCTTGCACCCCCTTCTTTCTTGGACCAATAATGACAGAAGTATACTATCGATTTTCATCGTGCCAATGATGTAAAATTAGTAATTTAATTATCTCAACTAACGCAAATTATGGCATGGCATGACAACATGTCACGAATTGTCATCCATGGTGATCGCCATGTGGGACCGTAGACGGCGAATTTTGACGGAAAATTTAATGGATACCAAAGTCGTCCCACAAATATAAAGTATTACGGATATAAAAATGATGTCCTTTGAATTTGGTTCTTGCCGAAAAGGGATTTAAAAGATGTGGTTCGCATGATTTGATACTAATCAACATAAAATAATGGTGACGAACATAACTAGAGAGCTTACTTTAGGCTCCGTTTATTTCGTAGAAGATGAATGAAAATATTTTTCTAAAAATGATTGCTTGTATTGTTTGAAATAATTAGTCAATGGAAAATATTTTTAGACAATGAAGAGTTTTTATCTATTCATTTTTATAAGTAATACAAGCGGTCATTGTTAGGAAATCATTCATTTTTCGTGAAATAATCGGAACTTAGGTAAAGAAAATTGGTCCCTTGGGCATCTCCCCGTGCACCAACTGGATTGGAATTGGGCAGGTGCTAGTTGCTCTTTTATTATTATTTCGACTTTTTTGGCTAGTCCATTATGTTGCTTGTCTCACTTTCACACACTTGGCCAGGCTCTTGTCCTAGCTAATTTCATATTTACTCTATAACTCTGGATGATGGTACTGACATGGATCGTCACAAAAAGTATAACAACATAGATATTCATGTTAATCAAATTCTTCGCCAAAGTTTACGTTGAGCTTTATTTAAAGCGGATTTGAACTCCATCATGTACATGTGTCCTCTGATTTAAAGAAAATAATACCACATAAAATTGCGATATATATCGAATAATAAGAAGAGTACATGCAACTTTTCGAGCGCATAAAATAATAGGATTCAATAAGAAACACGAAAGCACAAATAAGAGCATTAATGGGGAAATTCCTAAACATATCATATAATCTTCACCTTGTCATTTATATATGAATTGAGGAGCTTACTATAAGCTACTTGTCTGAGTAGAGATAAAGAACATGGACATGTGCTGCTACTAATGCAAGTAAAGCCAACATTTTTCCCTGTGGCGTAATAAGAAGTTTTATCTGATCAAGAAACATGTCGTAGATTCCTCAGGATGGAAGAAGATGCATGAACCTTTGTACTTTTGGAGCAATTTCCTTTCGGAAAGCATATCCTTTCTTGCTGCGTAGTGGTGTCAAAGCTAAAGATCACAGACCCAACTCTTTCTTCTTCAGACAAAGTCCTAGTCCCAGATTCCATAACGTCACCGCCAAATCACGTCGCCACTTGTGGAATTTCAGTCATTTCTCATTATTATATTTCTTTACAGAGCTTGGCAGTGGTCGATTCTTTGCAACATCTATCGATGGTCCAAACCAGTTGCAAGCGAAAGAATAAGGTGATCATTTGCTGATCCCCCTAAAAAAAAGCTAAGCCATCTTTTCACATGTGAGGAGCTACGAAATTCTTATTTTAGCGTTCAAAAGAATTGGAATTTTTCCCTGTATATGTGGATTGTCCCGTGGATATTCCCCGAGTTTTGTGCAAATCCCTCCTTCTTTCTATCTTGGAGGGGCGTGTTCCTCGGCATTACATTCACGCCTATATAAGGGGTTGTGCGATTGACGTGAGACCTTGTGGGGAGTTTGTCGCGTAGGTTTTTGTGCTCTTCGTATCCCAGAATAAGACCGAGATGGCTTTTCTGGGATCTTCTTCTTCTTCTTGTTCGGTTGCTGTTGTTGGGGCTGTTCTTGTTCTCGTTCTGGTTTTAAATGGGGCGGACTTGTGCAATGGAGGGAAGACCAGCACTTTCGTGCGTAAAGTGGAGAAAGCTGCGGACATGCCTCTGGATAGCGATGTTTTCCGAGTGCCTCCTGGCTATAATGCACCCCAACAGGTCTCAACTTAGCTTGTGTTCTTGCTCTTGCCTAAGTATAGCACAAGCTTTTCCTTCTGTTCTTTCTGTTTTTAAAACCCTTTTTTGACTCGTGAAATGGTTGACATCAACATGTTGAGACCCGCTGGGACAAGTTTGAGTCGGTTAATTCGGTTTCGGATTCGACGTGATTAATGTTAGAGGTTACTGTTGTTGATTTCGTTCTTTTCTTTGGGGTTTCTGATTTGCGTGATCGGTGCGCGAGTCTTTAGGTACATATAACACAAGGGGATCATGCGGGAAAAGG